TGATGAAAAATGGTGAAATAGTTGATTTCAAAATGAATGGAATGCAGACATGATAATTTGTCACATTAACAGTTTGTCACTTTACCAGTTTCAGAGTGTACAGTGTACATGAAAAAGTTAAAGAAGAGCAAGAAGTTCCTATGAATTGAGTGTGCTGTCTGTAATGGGATTAACTTATCTTATTAATCTTATAGGTCCGTTTCTCAAAATGCAAGCACAGTCAGTAAAAGCGCTGATTTGCAAGCCTCAAACACTTTTCGTTGCCCTGATGACCTGCATTGTCATACGTGCCTTTCAGGCCTGCTGTCTGTGACTTGGGGGCAAGAGTGGTTGCTTGGTTGGTTGGTTGACTGTCAAGTGAAGCAGTTGAATACAGATTACCATCTTCATCGAGGAACACTCTCAAAGGTATTTCTGCGCTTACGTCTTTTGAAGAGGTGCTTCCACCCTCGGGGAGAAACCGCTAAACGTTAGGTCAACAACTCTGGCTAATGCTGTTACTGTACTGAGCAGATTTCAATCACAAGGGGTTGGGATTTGTCTTTGGTCTGATTTCTTTGGCTGAAAGAGGACAAATCTCGGCAAAAAGGCCTGCATGAGGCACTGACTCATAAGCTGCCATGCTTCTGGCTTTGACCATATCAGCAAAGACCTGTGGTCTTCTACTGAGGCCATAGGCATCTTATGAAGTTTGCAAGGTTTATATAAGTTTGCAAGGTTTATATAAGATTGTAAAATCAAAATTAGCCAGAGGCTAGCTAGCAAGAGCCCAGTGCCATCTAACATGACTCTGAGGGTGACTTAGGTCAGGGGGTTAAAGTCTGTTATGACCTCAAACGTTTTCAAGACTAGGTAATTCCGGAATTGCCTACTTCATTGCCAGGAACTACAGCTTATAAGCTTGGTACAGCTTTCCTGAGGACCTGAAACCACTGCTAGCATAGGCAATAACCATATCCTCTCCATTCTGATACAGAATGGCACCAAGACCGTTTATTGTAGCATCACTGTGTAATATGAAGGGACCGTTAAAGTCTGCATAAGCACGATCAGGTGTGGATGTAAGCCCTATGTCCACGTAGTGCTGGTGGTCTTGGTCTTCCTTTAAAATGTTTCTTACTGGTCAGTTCATTGACAGAATTCCCTTTACGTAAGTCATTTAATGGTTCCACTATATGGGTATAGTGTTCAACGTACCAACAGTAAAAACCAGCAAAACCAAGGAAATGGCACAGTTCCTTCACATACCTGGGGTAGGGTATTCAGTTACCACTGATATTTTCTCTAGGTCAGTGAGATACTGTAGTGGCTAATGACATGACTGAGGTACACAACAGATGTCTTGAAGAGGTCATACTATTATTGTGCAATATTCAATTTACCAATTGGCTGTGAGCATGTGAATTTTCCTTCCATGCCTTCTGGGACTTTGTCGTACAATTACAAGGAACATTTTGGCTGACATTAGTTCTAACCATGTGCCGTATGGGCATTGGTAAAAATGGTCCAGTCTGAATATGGCCAATTTATTCCACAAAGTCTAGCTACAAATAAAACTATGGTACTGGTAAAGAGGGCAGGTGGTAGAGACCTGTAACATGGTCCCTGCTCTAAGCCAAGCATGGTTTAAACGTTAACTTAGAGGAGTAAAAAAAATTAACTGTTTAGAAAAGAATGTGGACACTCGTCTCCCAACTCATGGAAAGTTATTCCACCACAGTATGTTTTGCGCCGTAAAATTGCTGCAACATGCAACATGTTTTTTTATGTTATGCGGTTCAGACGCTAAATAAATTTGTCGTCTGTTCCAAATCAAATAATGCAAGTATCATGTCAGAAATTCATTAGAATAAATTTAGAATTTCTGAATCCTGTAGTGATTCCTTCACACGAATATCCCAAAACGGGAATACATAGTCGTGGCATTTAGACATATTCTAAACATTCTCATTTAAATCAATTTACATGTCTAACATAACCTAAGCCATTTATGTGACATCACACGGGAATTTACATTATTAATTCAGCTAGCATCTCAGACTATATTTTACATGCAAGAAAATGAAAGATGCAACGTCTGAATAGGAATGAATGAAATTACTTCTTTCTTTCTAAAATATTTCCATTGAAACGAAAACTAAATGACACCCTCAAATGGGTAAACCACTCTGGTGGCCTAGTGGTTAGAGCATCCGTTTCGGATGTGACGGTCGCTGGTTTGATAGCCAGGCAGAATCATACCAAAGACTTGTAAACATGGTACTAAGAGCTGCCTCGCTGGATGCTGAGCATTAGGAGGTTAGTGTTAAGACTGGTTGGCCTGGTGTCAGGATAATGCGACTGGGTGGGACATCAAGCTATGTTATTGACATGATTCCCCAGTGCTAGACATCACTCAAAACTGCCACATGGCAGACATCATTTGGCTGAAAAATTGTTAAAGCTACGTTAAATCTCTCTCTCTCTCTCTCTCTCTCTCTCTCTCTCTCTCTCTCTCTCTCTCTCTCTCTCTCTCTCTCTCTCTCTCACACACACACACACACACACATACACAAACACGCATTACCTACATTAGGAGGACCATGTAAATCAACATACATTAGTAGGTCCACCTCAGGGAAAGTATTTATACACTTCCTTTACAGTGGATCTTATTTGATTTCACACAATAACATATCCTCCGTGTCTAGAGTTTTTGAAAACAACATTGTTTTTGACTGACATGGTGTGTTTTTCACATACATGGGGGGGGGATGACACACATGTGGTAAATTGCATACACTTCGGGGACACAGGTTTACACACCTGTAGTTCACTGCTCTTGAGAGAATATTGTATGCTTATCTCCTCCTTGTCCAAGGACAAATTTCAGGGTTCCGTGTGCTTCGTACGCTGACAATAGTTTATTGATCTGTGTTTCCTGTTATATTTGGTGTAGCGTAAAAACCAGATGCAACAAATATATAATTGTATATGCCTTTTTGCTGTATTTGTTTAACTTTATTATACACCTAGTCCTTAAATAGGACTTCTTCTTTTATTAATTTTAGGAGACAATTAATCATTTTAAAGATTGCATGGGTACAAGTAAGACAGCAAAATTATGCAATTTCACAAAAATGTGTTGTTTTAGCAGTAACGTATTTTCAAAATTGTCGAACTCTGTCAATCAACTTTACATTGCTGAGAGAGGTGAGGCAGACAAAATCGTGGCCAATACAATAAATTCGGTAACTACTGAAGCTTTACGTTGAGAAAACTAAAACTGGAAAGTTATGGACACAGAATATAAAAAATACCAACTTAATTTCTATGGAAAATGACAACTGGTTCTAGCCATCCATTGCTCATTAGCATATTTGATTGCACCAGTAACATAACTTTTGTCATTTAAAAGCTTCCAATCTATACAAGCTGGACTAAGCCTTTACAACTCATTTCTTCCTAAAGTCATACGAGAACAAAATCATTATCTATCAAAATGCGACTCCGGTAATAAAAGGGTCATTAAACAATCGTTACAATCACGTTCCCATGCGCTGTTATTGGGTAGATAGTAAATATATTTTTTTTCTTTCTCTTCTCAACATAGTAAAAAACAACTGCATCACGATTAATCAACACTCAATTGAGCAAAAAAAATTAGATCGCATATATATTGATGTGGACTTGAAGAAAATAAACAACATTTTTTTTTCTTGGGAGTATTACCAAAATAATGCAATAGCTTTAAATACAATTCATTTGATGATATAAATCTCCCGTATGAATTAGCTTTCGTGTTTTAATGCCAATCAGAACTTAATTTTTGCTGTATAATATTTCATTCGATTTTTAGATAATCTGACTGTGTTGTGATATATTCTGACAGTATAACATTTTATCGAATGATAGAAAGGTTGTGTATGATATGGTATATATATAAGGCAGAATTGAATTTCGTATATATATATATATATATATATATATATATTATTTCTTATGTGTATAAAGCATGCTTGACAATGATTTACAATAGAACCTTATTAATTAATTAAAATAGGATCTATAACTTTCTCCTGTTTTGAAGAGTGTATGGTTTTTAAGTAGCTATCACAAGTATTTTTTTTAGCGAGTCTTTGTTGATTTTCTATTGAGTTAGATTGAACTGAAACACACTCAGATATAGTTTTACTAAGCTGTCTTCGTCGGGTTTCACCACCAAGGATTCATTCTTTATGTGTGGACATGTCTATTTATTAAATTATAATATTTATTATTAAGATCATACTGGTTTAATTATGCAAGTATATATGTGCGATTTTATTTTATTTCTGTGTTCCCCAACAAAAGCATCTCAATTTAAAATTTGCAGGTGCGCTCCCGCTGTACTGGCATCGCTACCTGGATACCAGTGATTAATCTGTTCCAATGTACTTATGGTGTAATCATATGGCCATAGTACACAATTAATTTTACTATACGGTCTCTACATTTGTTCCTCAGTACTGAACTTTCCACTGTGTGACAATCAATACAAATCATATGTTAATCTAAAATACCTTCAAAGATGACTTAACGGTTTAGTTCTTGTCAAGGGTTGACCTGCATTTTTTTGAGAGGCTGAATTGTAAACAAAACACCAGGCAACGGAACACAGATTTCACTTCCGGATCATCACCATGACCTTATTACTCAATGTGCACTGTCGCCGAAATACACACAGACAACCACACCATAAGATCACATTTTAAAGAATAATCAATTGCCTTTAAATCCTTACCAAGAATGCCAAAATCTAACTCTAGTATCACCACCAAATTTACACCGGAAAAAGTGATCTAAAAATAGACTGGGACTACATTCGTGGGTACTGAACCGGATTTTATTAATTGTGTACCGATTCCATATGCATACACGAGATTTAGAGAGATGTTACTGATTTCAATTTACGAGTGGGCTTATGGTATACACATTATCTTACACGTGATGGTATTAATGTAAATGTACATGATGTTACCGCTCTGGTGGGCTAGTGGTTAGAGCGTCCGCCTCCGATGCGGGAGGTTGTGGGTTCGAACCCCCACCAGGTCATACCAATAACTTTAAAATATGGTACTCACAGATGTCTCGCTTGGCGCTCAGCATTAAGAGGTTAGTATTAAGACTGGTCGGCCTGGTGTCAGGATAATGGGACTGGGTGGGACATCATGCCCCATGTCTACGGCATGAAACTCAGTGCTATACATCACTATAATCTGCAACACTGCAGACATTGTAGAGGTATGACTGAAAATATTTTTAGAGCTACGTTAAAAATCTAAATCACACACACCCACACACAAGACGATATCTCTAATATATGTGTTATTTTTTTCATGATTATTGATTGAAATTGTCATTTAGTAAATACCATATTAAATGCTAATTTTTTTAATAGTTGTTCATTTATGCTTGAAGATGATGTCATTTTAGTAAACGCATTACGTAGGTTTATAACTGTAGTAAACCTGTTGATTTGATGCGTTCAGACCATCAAGTTTCTTAAAAAGAAAAAAAGACAGACCTAATTCCTGATTGGCTAGCAGATAATGTACTTGACCTTATTGACATAAAGCGATTTTGAAATGGTTATTGACCCTCACTCTGCAACTTAAATTGCCTCTTTGTTTTTCTATATGACGCACGATTTAATGCAAATTAGTTATATCTACCAGAAACATCAGTATTAGATGATACAAATAATTGTGTTCAATGGATACTTACGAACTCTCAACCAATATGAGTAAATTAATTATTTTTGACCAATCAAAACCCGGCTTTAATTCACTACGAAGTAGCGAGTTGATATGCAGCACATTGGGTCACATACAAAATACAACTCTTGATCACTGTCTTCTTACTATGCCTAGGAAATTGAAAGATTACTCTTAAAAATCACTGCGGCACATGCGATTCAGATTGTTATCATAAATGTATTCAAGCGTGATTTATGTTTTTAATTTTCCCAAATCAAACTTTAAAATAGAAAAATGTATGCGTTGGAAGCGGTAAGTTATGTATTATTACATTTCGTATATAAATATAAAACCCATTTTAATTAATGACATTATTTATTGTGCTAATGAAACTATTAAATACAATTTTATGTTAATTGTATGTTTGTGTTCGAATTGTATATCATATTTGAGACATAATATTACATGCAGTAAAGAAAGTGCGTTCATGCATGTTGCATAGTTTTGTCCATTTATTAGCATGGCTATTTTGTTTTTCTTTTAAATACATTTCGAATATTGGTATCCACTTTTATCATCGGTGATTTTGTTAAACTTTTAAAAGTTAGGATTTTCTTGTAACTGGTGTCAAGATGACAAAGCATCACCCTATGCATTAAATTCTAGAATTTAAAGCATTAATATCTAAGTAGTAAGATAAAAGGCTTGCTCTAGCCCAAACACCACTTTTTACCAACTCCACACACTCCAAACAAATACAAATTACCCGTCTCGAGACCCTTAAATTCCCACCCCCAAACGATTTACACAAGACCAAAAGGCTGGTTCTAGCCCACATATAATCCTAGAACTTTACTTATGTACCAAGACCTTGTAACAGATGTTGCAAAAGGTATGTAATCAATGATCAAACAGATGTTGCAAAAGGTATGTAATCAATAATCTAACAGATGTTGCAACACGTATGTAACCAATAATCTAACAAATGTTGCAAAAGGTATGTAACTAATAATCTAACAGATGTTGCAAAAGGTATGTAACCAACAATCTAACAGATGTTGCAAAAGGTATGTAACCAATAATCTAACAGATGTTGCAAAAGGTATGTAACCAATAATCTAACAGATGTTGCAAAAGGTATGTAATCAATAATCTAACAGATGTTGCAAAAGGTATGTAACCAATAATCTAACAGATGTTGCAAAAGGTATGTAATCAATAATCTAACAGATGTTTCAAAAGGTATGTAACCAATAATCTAACATGTTGCAAAAGGTATGTAACCAATAATATAACAAATGTTGCAAAAGGTATGTACCCAATAATCTAACAAATGTTGCAAAAGGTATGTAATCAATAATCTAAAAGATGTTGCAAAAGGTATGTAACCAATAATCTAACAGATGTTGCAAAAGGTATGTAACCAATAATCTAACAGATGTTGCAAAAGGTATGTAATCAATAATCTAACAGATGTTGCAAAAGGTATGTAACCTATAATCTAACAAATGCTGCAAAAGGTATGTAACCAATAATCTAACAAATGTTGCAAAAGGTATGTAATCAATAATCTAACAAATGTTGCAAAAGGTATGTAATCAATAATCTAACAGATGTTGCAAAAGGTATGTAATCAATAATCTAACAGATGTTGCAAAAGGTATGTAACCAGTAATCTAACAGATGTTGCAAAAGGTATGTAACCAATAATCTAATAAATGTTGCAAAAGGTATGTAATCAATAATCTAACAAATGTTTCAAAAGGTATGTAATCAATAATCTAACAGATGTTGCAAAAGGTATGTAACCAATAATCTAACAAATGTTGCAAAAGGTATGTAATCAATAATCTAACAGATGTTGCAAAAGGTATGTAACCAATAATCTAACAGATGTTGCAAAAGGTATGTAACCAATAATCTAATAAATGTTGCAAAAGGTATGTAATCAATAATCTAACAAATGTTGCAAAAGGTATGTAACCAATAATCTAACAGATGTTGCAAAAGGTATGTAACCAATAATCTAACAAATGTTGCAAAAGGTATGTAATCAATAATCTAACAGATGTTGCAACACGTATGTAACCAATAATCTAACAGATGTTGCAAAAGGTATGTAACCAACAATCTAACAGATGTTGCAAAAGGTATGTAACCAATAATCTAACAAATGTTGCAACACGTATGTAACCACTAATCTAACAGATGTTGCAAAAGGTATGTAACCAATAATCTAACAAATGTTGCAAAAGGTATGTAACCAATAATCAATCAAATGTTGCAAAAGGTATGTAATCAATAATCTAACAAATGTTGCAAAAGGTATGTAATCAATAATCTAACAGATGTTGCAAAAGGTATGTAATCTATAATCTAACAAATTTTGCAAAAGTTATGTAATCAATAATCTAACAGATGTTGCAAAAGGTATGTAACCAATAATCTAACAAATGTTGCAAAAGGTATGTAACCAATAATCTAACAAATATTGCAAAAGGTATGTAATCAATAATCTAACAGATGTTGCAAAAGTTATGTAACCAATAATCTAACAAATGTTGCAAAAGGTATGTAACCAATAATCTAACAAATGTTGCAAAAGGTATGTAACCAATAATCTAACAGATGTTGTAAAAGGTATGTAACCAATAATCTAACAGATGTTGCAAAAGGTATGTAATCAATAATCTAACAGATGTTGCAAAAGGTATGTAACCAATAATCTAACAAATGTTGCAAAACGTATGTAACCAATAATCTAACAGATGTTGCAAAAGATATGTAACCAATAATCTAACAAATGTTGCAAAAGGTATGTAATCAATAATCTAACAGATGTTGCAAAAGGTATGTAATCAATAATCTAACAAATATTGCAAAAGGTATGTAATCAATAATCTAACAGATGTTGCAAAAGGTATGTAACCAATAATCTAACAAATGTTGCAAAACGTATGTAACCAATAATCTAACAGATGTTGCAAAAGATATGTAACCAATATTCTAACAAATGTTGCAAAAGGTATGTAACCAATAATCTAACAGATGTTGTAAAAGGTATGTAACCAATAATCTAACAGATGTTGCAAAAGGTATGTAATCAATAATCTAACAGATGTTGCAAAAGGTATGTAACCAATAATCTAACAAATGTTGCAAAACGTATGTAACCAATAATCTAACAGATGTTGCAAAAGATATGTAACCAATAATCTAACAAATGTTGCAAAAGGTATGTAATCAATAATCTAACAGATGTTGCAAAAGGTATGTAATCAATAATCTAACAGATGTTGCAAAAGGTATGTAACAAATAATCTAACATGTTGCAAAAGGTATGTAATCAATAATCTAACAGATGTTGCAAAATGTATGTAATCAACAATCTAACAGATGTTGCAATAGGTATGTAATCAATAATCTAACAGATGTTGCAAAAGGTATGTAATCAATAATCTAACAGATGTTGCAAAAGGTATGTAATCAATAATTTAACAAATGTTGCAAAAGGTATGTAATCAATAATCTAACATATGTTGCAAAAGGTATGTAACCAATAATCTAACAGATGTTGCAAAAGGTATGTAACCAATAATCTAACAGATGTTGCAAAAGGTATGTAACCAATAATCTAACAAATGTTGCAAAAGGTATGTAACCAACAATCTAACAGATGTTGCAAAAGGTATGTAACCAACAATCTAACAGATGTTTCGAAAGGTATTTAACCAATAATCTAACAGATGTTGCAAAAGGTATGTAACCAATAATCTAACAGATGTTGCAAAAGGTATATTACCAACAATCTAACAGATGTTTCAAAAGGTATGTAAGCAATAATCTAACAGATGTTGCAAAAGGTATGTAACCAATAATCTAACAGATGTTGCAAAAGTTATGTAATCAATAATCTAACAGATGTTGCAAAAGGTATGTAACCAATAATCTAACAGATGTTGCAAAAGGTATGTAACCAATAATCTAACAGATGTTGCAAAAGGTATGTAATCAATAATTTAACAGATGTTGCTAAAGGTATGTAATCAATAATCTAACAGATGTTGCAAATGGTATGTGACCAATAATCTAACAAATGTTGCAAAAGGTATGTAATCAATAATCTATCAAATGTTACAAAAGGTATGTAACCAATAATCTAACAGATGTTGCAAAAGGTATGTAATCAATAATCTAACAGATGTTGCAAAAGGTATGTAACCAATAATCAAACAAATGTTGCAAAAGTTATGTAACCAATAATCTAACAGATGTTTCAAAAGGTATGTAACCAATAATCTAACAGATGTTGCAAAAGATATGTAACCAATAATCTAACAGACGTTTCAAAAGGTA